GGCCTTTCTTGTTCCTTCCAGCTGTTCCTGGCTCACACAGACTGACTGCTGTTGGATTCTGCTGACTAATCTCGTCTCCTGATTCTTCCCTGTCCTTGGACAGTTCCTTGAGTACATTTCTTTCTTTCCATTCTTTCCTTCCCTTCTTCCTCCTTTCTTCTTTCTGAGACGGGGCGTCACTCTGCCACCCAGGCTAGAGTACAGTGGCACAATCACGGCTCACTACAGCCTCCACCTCCCGGGCTCAGATGATCCTCCCACCTCAGTACCACCCTACCTATCTTTTTTTTTTTTTGATATATATATATATGTGTGTGTGTGTGTGTGTGTGTGTGTGTATGTGTATATATATAGATATGTAGACATGGGGTTTCACCATGTTGCCCAGGCTGGTCTTGAACTCCTGGCCTCAAACAATCCTCCTGCTTTGGCCTCCCAAAGTCTTGGGATTACCACCGTGCCTGGCCATTGAATACATTTCTACTATGCTCTCCCGTGATGTTCACGCATCTGGTCCGTGGACCACACTTTGAGCAGTACCTAACTAGCTAGCTTATGCCCTTACCCATTAAAATGCACTACTGCGTGTTCTATGCCATGGCTGGATTCTGTACTTGCACTGCCTCCATTACTCACATTACATTTAACTATTGGCTGGTTCCTCTGATTCCTTCCTGGGTAGGGTGGCCAAGTGTCTCAGTTTGCCCAGGAATGTTCCTGTTTTAGCACTGGAAGTCCCATGTCCCCTCAGTCACAGGCAAACCAGCATGGTCCTGGGAACTCTGGCTGTTTCCCAGCCTCTCCAACTGTGCCTTCACACCAGTAACTACTGTTTGGGCCCTCGGGCTGTTAACTCGCTTCAGTTATACCATTCTTTCTGGTTCTCCTCTGGTCTCTCTAGCTGGCCACTGGTCAATCAGGCTGCTACTCCACACTGGATACATGTTTAATGCTCACTTGACCTGTTCCCTAGTTCCTCTGGTTACTTCCCAGGGCCTCTGGTGGACCCTCAGCCCCAAGCACATTTTGGCTGCTCCCTCTGGCTGCCCCCCAGCCTCAGTGACCGTTCCTTGCTCCAGGTGTTCCACAGTACTCTAGGCCATTCTACAGCTTCAGAGGCTCTTCTGTCATCTTTCCACCTGTTCCATGGACTCTGTCCCTTCCCTGATCCCTCTGCCCATTCTACAGCCTCAGCAATTGTCTCCTGGTTCCTCTGGCTGCAATCCATTCTCTGGGTCATATTTCCCATTTCTTGTTCCCTAGTATCTCTGTCTTTTGCCTATACCCTCAAGCTCTCTTCTAAACCAAGGAACTGCTTCCTGGTTCCTCGGGAAGTTGCTTGTCCCTCAGGCTCATACCCAGTTCCTTGGATATGTTTGCTTTTTCCATTTTATCTGATTCTTCTGCTTCCTCACCCCTCTGGATACTGACTGCTCTGTCTGGCTGCTTTCTGGTTCCTCTATTTCCTGGTACCTCCCTCCTATTTCATGATCCTTCTCACTGTTCTTTAACCCTCGGCTCTTCCCTGCTCCCCAGTGATTACCACTTCTCCAGCCTCAGCAACTGTTTCTTGGTCTCTGGCTCCAGCATCTGACTCATGTCCTGCTTGTTTCATTATTCTTCCACCTGTATCCTGGACCCGTTGGCTATTCTTCATCTCTAGTAAGTGCACCATGGTCCCTGTTCCTTATTCCCTTGTGGCTCCCTTCAGCCCTCTTTACCTTACTGATCCCTCTGCTTATTCTCCATCTTCAGCCACTGTTTCTTGGTACAACTGGCTGCTCCTCAAACCCTGGGGACATTTTTATTGGTTCCTAGGTATCTCTGCCTATACCCTGCTCCCTGATGTTTAATGAAAACACCAAGACCCTAACCAATAAATAAGTCAATAAATAATATTCCCCCCAGGGTCTCAGTCATTTCTATCTCTTCTTGAGGTGGGTCAGAGATCTGTGGTTAGGAAGGAAGAGATGAATGGAGAAATGTGCCTTTCAGAATCGTTCTTCTAGAAATCCCCACTGTTGGCTGGGCAAGAGGCCATGTGCAAGAGTGGGGAGGACCACATTGTCATGGCCCTAATCTGTGGGTCCGTGACTGACATGACTGAGCAGAGCTTAGACAAGGTGGAAGTGTACTACTGTCGAGCACTGATTCACTTGCTATTTAATGCCCCTATACCTTTGACTGAAAAATATAATTTCAATGACTTGGCAGAAAGATGTATTTATTTATTTACTTATTTATTTATTTTGAGACAGAGTCTCGCTCTGTCACCCAGGCTGGTGTGCAGTGGTGTGATCTTGGCTCACTGTAGCCTCAACCTCCTGGGCTCAAGTGATTCTCTCACCTCAGTCTCCCAAGTACATGGGACTACAGGTGCACACTACCACACCCGGCTAATTTTTGTATTTTTGTTGAGACAGAGTCTTACTATATTGCCCAGGCTGGTCTCAAACTCCTGAGCTCAAGCGATCTGCCCGCCTTGGCCTCCCAAAATGCTGGGATTACAGGCATGAGCCACCATGCCCAGCTGGCAAAAAGATTTAAATGTAGGAATTTTATCATAGTAGTTTAATCACAATAGAAAACCTCAAATACCCTAAATGCACATTATTAGTGGACTGGTTGTAGGGGGATGGGGAGACACTGGTCAAAGTATACAAAGTTTTTGTTAGAGGGAATAAGTTTTTGAGACCTATTGCAGTTTGGTGGCTAGTTAATAATGATGTAATGTTATTTCAAAATTGCAAAGAGAGCAGATTTTTTTTTTTCTTTGAGACAGAGTCTCGCTCTGTCGCCCAGGCTGGAGTGCAGTGGCACGATCTCGGCTCACTGCAAGCTCCGCCTCCCGGGTTCATGCCATTCTCCTGCCTCAGCCTCCCGAGTAGCTGGGACTACAGGCACCCACCACCACGCCCAGCTAATTTTTTTGTATTTTTAGTAGAGACAGGGTTTCACCGTGTTCGCCAGGATGGTCTCGATCTCCTGACCTCGTGATCCGCCCGCCTCGGCCTCCCAAAGTGCTGGGATTACAGGCATGAGCCACCTCACCCGGCCAAGAGCAGATTTTAAATGTTCACATCATGAAAGAAATAAGTCTTTGAGGTAATGGATATGTTAATTAGGTTGATTTAAATATTCTACAATGTATACAAAGATCAAAACATCACATTGTACCCCATAAATATACATAATTATTATTCGTCAATTAAAAATAAAATTTGCGGGGCATGGTGGTGACTCACACCTGTAATCTCAGCACTCTGGGAGGCCAAGGCAGGAAGATTACTTGACCCCAGGAGCTTGAGACCAGCTGGGTGTGGTGCCATGTGCCTGTAGTCCCAGCTACTTAGGAGGCTACGGTGGGAGGATCGCCTGAGCCCAGGAGATTGAGGCTGTAGTGAGCTGAGATTGCAACACTGCACTCTAGCCTGGGCAACAGAGGGAGACTGCCTCAGAGGAAAAAACATTAAAATAAATAAATAAAATTAAAAAAATAGCAAACTGGCTAAATTATGGACATCATAAGTGTATAAAGAAAAATACTTGCTGCCTAGCAAACCATGTTAAACTGCCCAGTTAAAAATGAGGTAACCAAAGAATATGATTCTGTTTTAAAACTTTAGCTATATATGTGTATGTGTACAGTATGCATGCACACTCAGGCCCCACACGTATACTCACACACATGCACACATGCACACACAAAGGAAAAAACCACTGAAAGGAAATACAGCTAAATGTTAACACTGGTTAGCTTTGGGTAATGTTGGAACGACAAGTAATTTTTTAGTTTCTTCTATTTGCTAAACTATACTTTCTAATATTTTATTATGAAGTTATAAAATGACAAAAAAAAAATAATATTTAAAAGTTTAATGTTATCCTAATGACCACATGACCCTGAGCCCCTGAGACAATGAAGCCTTCCAGAGTCAACAGCATCCACAGGCAGGTCTGAAAGGAGGGAGCTGTCGGGCAGGGTCTGGCTCGCTCGTGGTCCTCCTCGGCTTACAGAAGCTCAATGGGAACTCTGATCTGAACGGGAGCTCTGAGCAGGAAACTTGATCTCAGCTGTGGTGCGGTGAGGGTGGAAGACACAGTCAGGAGACCTGACTCCAGTCTAGTGTTGTCACCGCCAACCTGAGAGGCCTGGGCGAGTCATGTGTCTTCTGGGGCATTTTATTCATCTTTTTTTTTTTTTGTTTTTGAGATGGAGTCTCACTCTGTCACTCAGGCTGGAGTGCAGTGGTGTGATCTCAGCTCACTGCAACCTCTACCTCCCAGGTTCAAGCGATTCTCCTGCCTCAGCCTCCCAAGTAGCTGGGATTACAGACATGCGCCACCAAGCTCAGCTAACTTTTTGTATTTTTAGTAGAGACGGGGGTTCGCCATATTGGTCAGGCTGGTCTTGAACTCCTGACCTCAAGCAATCCACCCGCCTCAGCCTCCCAAAGGTGCTGGGATTATAGGCGTGAGCCACTGTGCCTGGCCATTTTATTCATCTTTGAAAGGAGGAGGGAAAGCCAGAAGGGTCCCAGAGACTATGGTGGCCCTACTACCCTGCCAGTCTCTAAGTTCCAAAGAAAAAGGATTTTTCTCTACCTAAATCAGGATAGAGGAGAAATTGCCAGATCCCCAGAGACCTGGGGGAAGTGGGCACTGGTGGGGATCAGCTGACGTCTATAAAGAGCCGACAGAGAGGGAAGGGTTGGTGCTGGGGTGGGGGTGGAGTCTCCCTGGCTATGGATAGTGGCTGCTTCCACCTGGACCTCACCCTCATTTGCCCTGCAGGGAGCTGCCCCCACTCCCTAGGTTGTGGGGCTCACCCTCCACATCCTCCCTCTCCTCTAGTGTAATCAGCCACATTACCCTGTCCACTGAAACACGTGGGGCTCTGGATGTGGCCGCATCAGTCAAGTGGTGCTCACTCTCAGTGGGAGGACCCTGGTCTGTCTCCAGGGCAGCAGGTCTGGAATCTGCCGCTTCCTCTGACTCACCTGCTCCTGCCCTGAGGCCCTGGGGACAGGTCAGGGTATCTCCTCACTGAATGAATTACTGCCTCCGGGGTCCTCTCCCTCCTCACCTCACATGAGCTGCCACGTCCCTCTGCAGCCACGACCGGGTACCATGGGGGAGAGTCCCCATTAGCTGCCATGTTCACGCTGGGCCTCAGCCCTCAGGCTCTCCTGCTGACAACCCCACTCTTTCCCAAGCTGGAAGCTGAGCTGGCGTCTGCGGACTCAACCGGAGCTGCTGGGGCGAGGCAAGCAGGAGTCAGAAGGAAGATCCTGCAGTTTCCACTAAGGAGCCTGGCCCCCAGACTCTGCAGAGGCTCCAAGAAACCCTGGAAAGACAGTGTCCACATGGTCATCACTCCACGTTCACCCACAAATATTTTCTGGTAGTGCCCAGGGGAGGCTCACTGTGCTGGATGCTGCAGAAGAGAAAAGTTCGGTAAAACCCACACCAAGTATTAAAGCAAAACATGGGGAAAATTCACAAGATCTGGTGTAAAATGAATGAGCATTTGTATTCAAGTTCTTCTATGTTCTAGCTAGAATCTGAGGAAGTCACTTTATGTGAAGTTTCTTCATCTTAAAACAGGATGAAAATACTTATCTCATAGGGTTGTTAGAATTAAACGAAATGATGCTTCTACGTACACCTACTTGGTACCTGGAACATGCTCAACTCATTTTAAATAGTGCTATTATTACAAGGTGCAAGGCATGTTTTATTAGGTACCTCATTTAATTTTCACACTCATCCTGTGGACTAGGCATTATTATTATTATTACTAATCCCATTTACCATCAGATAGAGCTGTTCAGAAATATTAAGAAATTTGCCCCAAGATCACTCAGATGAGGGGGAAGGACAAGGATTCAAACTCAGGTATGCCTGGCTCCAAAGCATACTTTCTTAACTACTGAGCCATTTGGTACTCTATTCAAGGCAGAATCACAATAAACACTGTGGTTCCTGCTACCTTCAAAGTGCTCTGGCTGAGCAGTGACCATGCCACTTGAGCATAAACTGAGCTTCTGTGTAATTCAGTGTACATTCTATGCAAAGAACAGAGCCCACCCTCTTCTGTCAAAGATGAAAACTCAAACTTGTCCCTTCTCTTCTGCAATTCCCATCAGGCCCTGAAAACCAGCAGGTCTGCACAGGCTCCTAAATCCCTATAGCCCACAGTGCTCGACAAAAACTGTGTACCAAATGGTGTCATCAACTGGTTTCCACAGGCTCCTCAAATTACCACCAACCCAGGCAGCACACCATCAATAGGATCAATGACTCCCATAAAACCCTCAGTAATAGAAGTTCCAGTTCATCACAGAGCAACTCACACAGTACTATAATAACCAATGTCCATAGGTCCCAATCCAGGACTGCCACAGGCCCCCCAAAACTGACTTGTAATCCCTGTGAATCCCCGACTTGCAATCATTCACCACCTTAGCACCCCAATCAATAAACTCTCATGGACTGAATCGATGACCTCAGATACTGACATTTCCAACACTTCCAGGCAGAACCAACACGTCATTTACAAGGAAAAGGGATCACAGTGGCACTAGATGTATTTGCAAAAACAGAAGCCATGTTAGAAGAAAACTCTACAAATTATTGCGAGAGAAGGTCTGAGATCCAAGAATTCTAAACTCACCCTAGCTAGATACCATTCTATTGTCAGAGCAAAAGAAAGACAATTTTAGACATAAAAGCATTTCTAGCATTTTATGCCAATATTCCAATCTCAGGAGAACACTCAAGGGAATAGTCTAAACAATGGTAAACAGAATAGAAACAAAAAACCTCAAAACAGGAAAGCAGTTTTGAGATAGGATTCTTGCAATTGATATATAATTACATCTGGATAAAGAAAAGCAACGTAATTGGGCATCTGTAGTAAATAAGGCTGTTACTATTAACTATGTGGAAATTTAAAAATTCCCTGGCCGGGTACGGTGGCTCACACCTGTAATTCCAGCACTTTGGGAGGCCGAGGCGAGCGGATCACGAAGTCAGGAGATCAAGACCATCCTGGCTAACACTGTGAAACATTAAAAATACAAAAAATTAGCCGGGCCTGGTGGCATGCACCTGTAGTCCCAGCTACTCGGGAGGCTGAAGCAGGAGAATCGCTTGAACTCAGGAGGCGGAGGTTGCAGTGAGCCGAGATCATGCCACTGCACTCCAATCTGGGTGACAGAGACTGTCTCAAAAAAACACAAAAAAACAAACAAACAAAAAAATTCCCTGGGAAAATTTACTGAACAAAATGAGGAGAAGGCAAATTACAAATTTCCATGGGCAGGTATCGGTACAATATTATTTGGATTTAGTAATATAGAAAAGACATACAATCATATTTGTAAGGAAGGTAAAGGCAACTACTAACAGAAATTCATTAAAAAAATCAAAATTCCAAACAATCAAAACTCAAAAGTAATAAAAACCTAAAAGAGGATTAACAGAAACATGAATGAGGCCAGGCACAGTGGCTCACACCTGTAATCCCAGCACTTTGGGAGGCCAAGGCGAGCGAATCACAAGATCAGGAATTCGAGACCACCCTGGCCAACGTGGTGAAACCCCATCTCTACTAAAAATACAAAAATTAGCTGGGTGTGGTGGTGCATGCCTATAATCCCACCTACTCAGGAGGTTGAAGCAGGGGAATTGCTTGAGCCCAGGAGGCGGAGGTTGCAGTGAGCCGAGATCTTGCCACTGCACTCCAGCCTGGGTGACAGAGCGAGACTCCATCTCAAAAAAAAAAAAAAAAGAGAAACATGACCAGCCAGGCATAGTGGCTCACACCTGTAATCCCAGCACTTTGGGAGGCCAAGGCGGGAGGATCACCTGAGGTCAGGAGTTTGACACCAGCCTGGCCAATATGGTGAAACCCTATCTCTACTAAAAACACATAAATTAGCCGGGCGTGGTGGCAGGCGCCTGTATTCCTAGCTACTTGGGAGGCTAAGGCATGAGAATCACTTGAACCCAGGAGGTGGAGGTTGCAGTGAGCCGAGATCGCGCCATTGTACTCTGGCCTGGGGGGACACAGTGAGACTCTGTTTAAAAAAAAAAAAAAAGCAAACGAAAGATAATAGGAGAAAAAAAGGAAAAAAATAATAGGAGGCATAAAATCAAGTATGTTAAAACAAAATGATGAAGATGTGAAATGAAGCACTTGATAGAAATACACCATATCATTGATCATTCTTTCCTTTATGGTTGGCATGCATTATGTCTTGTTAGGAAACCTTCGCCTACCTCAGGGTCATGTAAAAGTTTTATCATTTTAGCTTTCACATTTAGATCCACAGTCCATCTGGGAAGGATTTTAGCATGTGGTATATGTTAGAGTCAAGATTCATTTCTTTATACAGAAGCAAGATAATCCAGCACCATTTATTGAAAAGCCTACCCATGGCCAGGCACAGTGGCTCATGTCTGTAATCCCAACACTTTGGGAGACCGAGGTGGGCGGATCACCTGAGCTCAGGAGTTCGAGGTCAGCCTGGCCAATACGGCGAAACCCTATCTCTACTAAAAATACAAAAATTAGTCAGGCGTGGTGGCAGACACCTATAATCGCAGCTACTCGGGAGGCTGAGGCAGGAGAATCGCTTAAACCCGGGAGGTGGGGGTTACAGTGAGCTGAGATCTCACCACTGCACTCCAGCCTGGGGGGATAGAGTGAGACTCTGTCCCCAAAAAAGAAAAAAAAGAAGACTATCCTTTCTCCATTGCTCTGTAGTGTCTCCTTGTGATCATATATGTGGAGGTCATTCCTGAACTCTGTATTTTCATTAGTTTATTTGTCTATTCTTGGACCAGTGTTATAGTCTTAATTAATGTGCTTTATATTAAGTCCTGATAAAGGATACCTAAATTGGACTACATTAAAATTAAGGACTTCTGTTAATCAGAAGATAAAATTAAAAATGTAAAGGCAAATGCTACAGTGGGAGAAGGTAACTGTAATACCTATATTTGACAAATGATTAATATCTCAAATATATCAAGAATGTCTAGAAATCACTAAGAGCCACAGAAAAAGGGCAAAAGGAACAGGCATTTCACAAAGAAAATACCCAAATAGCAAATAAGCTTATAAAAAGATGCTTGACTTCACCAGTTAGCAAGGAAATAGAAGTTAAACTACAATAAGATAATCCTCCACACAATCCTCCATATCTACAATAAGATAATCCCACTAGAAATTGCCAAAATGAAAAAGATGGGAAATAAACAAGAGCGGGCAAGGATGTGGAGCAGCCAAAACTCAGATTGCTTGCTAGGAGCATAAACTAGTACATAAACTTTGAAAAACTGTTTGGTAGTCTCTATTAATGGTGAATACATGCAATATCCTATGACCCTGCTGTTTGACTCCAGTTCTCTCTCACTCAAGAGAAATGCAAATATATGTTTATTAAAAGAGATGATAATGTTCATGGTAGCTTTATTCAAAACTAAAAATTATGTAAATGCCCATCAACATCAGAATGGATAGACAAGTTGTGTTATATCTATACAAGGAAATACTATACAGCAATGAGAAAGAATAAATTGCTATACTCAACATGCATGAGTCTCGTCCCATGAACACTCTGTTAAGCTAAAGAAGCCAGACTCAAAAGAGCAATGAAGCAATGCCATATGATTACGTTTATATACATTTCAAAAACATGGCTTCTTTTTTTTTTTTTTTGAGACAGAGTCTCGCTCTGTCTCCAGCCTGTCGTACAGTGGTGAGATTTTGGCTCACTGCAACCTCCACCTCCCGGGTTTAAGTGATTCTCCTGCTTCAGCCTCCCGAGTAGCTAGGACTACAGGTGTGCGCCACCATGCCCAGCTAATGTTTGTATTTTTAGTAGAGATGGGGTTTCACCATGTTGGGAAGGATGGTCTCGATCTCTTGACCTTGTGATCTGCCTGCCTCAGCCTCTCAAAGAAACATGGCTTCTTTAAAACTGTTTTTTTTTTTGTTTTTCTTTTTTTTGAGAAGGAGTCTTGCTTTGTAGCCCAGGCTGGAGTGTAGTGGTGTGATCTCGGCTCACTGCAACCTCTGCCTCCCGGGTTCAAGCGATTCTCCTGCTTCAGCCTCCCAAGTAGCTAGGACTCTAGGTGTGTACCACCATGCCCAGCTAATTTTTGTATTTTTAGTAGAGATGGGGTTTCACCATGTTGGGCAGGATGGTCTCGATCTCTTGACCTCGTGATCCACCTGCCTTGGCCCCCCAAAGAAACATGGCTTCTTTAAATTTTTGTTGTTGTTGTTGTTGAGACAGAGTCTTGCTCTGTCACCCAGGCTGGAGTGCAGTGGTGTGATCTCGGATCACTGCAACCTCTGCTTCCCGAGTTCAAGCGACTCTCCTGTCTCAGCTTCCCAAGTGGCTGGGATTACAGGCGCCCGCC